ATTTCCGAGGTCGATCTCGCAAAAGTCACTCTGGCGACCTTCGCACACGTCGCCCGGGTATCCCGGTCAACCGGGCAACCAGGTCGATGTCGTGAAGTCGGCGTCCTTCCTGGTCGGCGTCCCCTCGTCGACCACTTCGGGACCAGGCCGTCGACTTCGCCAATTCGTCGGCCATCAAAGGTCAGCGCCCTCCACCCCGTCGCCTCGCTGCTCGATGTCGAGCTGCTCGGCATTCTCCCACTCGATGCCCTCCAGCTCGACGTCCCCAGCCTCCCCTGTCGAGGTCGACGTCGGCCCCTCCGTCGTCGACCACCAGGTTCGGTCGACCTCGTGGTCGACCACCCAAAACTGTGCACCCCGAAGTCGGCGCCCGTCGCAGTGCCCCCCGTGCAGGTCGACCTCCTCGTCGACCAGCTCTCCCACTGCTGCAGGTCGGCTGCACTGCCCCGTACACCCGACCACGAGGTCGGCTCCGCCCAAGCGAGGACGGGGCCACACCCAACTCCCGTTGACACTCCCCTGCCGCGTTCACTCTTGGGCCCCAAGCCCACACGGCAGCACTTCTCGGAGAATAGCCAGTCGGCGTGCACCCCACACACAGCACGCCGGTCACCGCACCAGCCATGCATGAAGGCATGGCACCTACTGTTGCACGTCGTCGTCGCCGTCGCCCACGTCGGCCAAGCGCACCTGGCCGATTGCGACGGAGCACCGGTTGAAGGCCGGATAGTGCAGCGCCTTCGTAAGGAAGTCGACCGGCTGCTCAGCGGTCGGGATGTACTTCAGCGAAAACTTCCCGCGCTTCATTATGTGCTGCGGCCAGGCCTGTCGCCGCTCCATGTGCTTGAGGTTGCCCGTCAACCCCATGCCCTCGGCTACCGTGATGGCCGACTTGTTGTCCACCCGAAGGACGGTCGACTTCCCGGCATCCAGCTGCCGGAACTCTGCGAGGAGGAAGCGAAGGCAGCGTCCCTCCTTGCCGGCTTCAGTGGCCGCCACATACTCCGACTCGGTCGACGACAACGTCGCGCACTTGATGCGCTGGCTCGACCAGGAGACCGCGGCCCCTCCATAGACGAACACGTAGCCGCCCGTGCTTATTCGGTTCTGCTTGTCTCTGGTGTCGCGATATATATTCTATATATATTTATAACTGCCTAGACAAGATCAAGATGGCATTCCGTATCAGATACGGCTCCTACGAGTACTTAGTGATGTCGTTCGGACTCTGCAACGAACCAGCAACGTTCCAGACAGAGATGAACCATATCCTACGGCCCCTGCTTGACGAGTGTGTACCTGGAAGACATTCTCATATACTCCAAGAACATGAAGGAGCTCGTGGAGCATCTGCGGAAAGTGTTCGAGATCCTGCAGAAAAATTAGTTCTACGTGAAGCTGACGAAGAGCGACTTCGCACAGCAGAAGGTGCAATTTCTCAGGCACATGGTGAGTGCCGAGGGCGTACAAGTGGACCCGCGGAAGCCGTTAAATAGTGGAAAGAACCGGAGAACGTGAAGGAGTTGCAGCAGTTCCTAGGCTTCGCCAACTACTACAACAGGTTCGTGCCGCAGTACGCTAAGAGAGCAGCGCCACTGACTGACCTACTGGAAAAGGATACACCCTACAAATGGGATACTCCTCATCAGCAAGCCATGGAGCAGCTACAGACAGCACTGACTACAGCGTCAGTACTCATCCTACCGGACCCAGATAAGGACTACGTGGTGGAAGAAGACCCTAGTGACCAAGCAGTCGGAGCAGTACTGATGCAGGATCACGGACGCGGTTTGTAGCCCATCGCCTACCTCAGTAAGAAGCTACACGGAGCAGAACTGAACTACCTCATCCATGACAAGGAAGCCTTAGCAATAGTCGTAGCAATCAAGGCGTGAAGGCGTTACCTAGAGGGACCACTGCAGTCTCAAATATCTGAAGTCGCAGCCGACGCTCTCACGACGACAGGCGCGGTGGGTGGACTTCCTGGAAACTCACTTCCACTACGACATCGTCTACTAGCCCGGGCTACACAACAAAGCAGACGCATTGAGCCGCCCCGGACATGTAGCAGGCATCTAGCTCGACGGGATGAACCCTCTGCTCAAGGGTCTTTTCCAACATGGGTACTCTGTGGACGCAGAGATCGCCACAGCACAGACTCAGAAGCTGTTACAGTTGGAGAAAGACGTAGCTGTAAGGAAGGGCACAAGAAAGATTTGGGTACTGAATTATGCCCCGCTCCGACAGATTCTACTGCAAGAGTTTCACGATGTACCATACGCGGGACATTTCGGGAGCAACAAAACGTTAGCAGGAATAGCAAAGTATTGCTACTGGCCCGGGATGGCAGCAGACGTGCAGTAGTTCGTCACCTCGTGCGACACGTGCCAGCGGATGAAGCGCAGAAAGAAGAAAAAAGCAGGGTTACTCCAGCCTCTACCCGTACCGGAGCAACCATGGCAGGTCGTTAGCCTCGAGTGCATCACGGGACTTCCTTGGACCTCACGAGGGCATGACGCCGTCCTCGTAGTGATCGATATGTTTTCCAAAATGGGTCACTTCATTCCGACCAACGCCACAGCTACAGCTGAAGCAACTGCTCGCCTCTTCTTCGACCGCATCATCACCATCCACGGCATCCCCGCTACACTCATCTCTGACAGAGACCCAAAATTCACGAGTAAGTTCTGGAAGGAGCTCATGGGACTGTTGGGGACAAAGCTTGCAATGTCTTCAGCATACCACCCCCAGACTGACGGACAGTCAGAGCGACTCAATCAAGTGGTTGAACAGTTTCTGCGCACAGCTTGCAAAGACGACGTCAGCCACTGGGACACACAGTTACCGACACTAGAGTTCGCTTACAACAACGCGTCACATGCGGCCACAGGGAAAACTCCTTTCTTCCTGTGTTACGGACGGGAACCACTTACACCACGGCAGCCAACCACACCGGCACTCGTCCAAGCCGCACATGACTTCGTCACCACCATGCAGCAGCTGTGGGAGAAGACTCAGCGACGTCTCACCACGATCCAGAACTCCGAGAAGCAGTATGTCAATCGCCAGCGACATGATCAGACAGTAGCAGTCGGAGATCAGGTGCTTCTTGACACGCGCAACTTGAACCTGTCTCACCTCCCATCCAAACTCTGTCAGAATCCCAACCACTAGACCATTGGGATAAAAGGGCTTGTTTCAGTAGCGGGTCAGTGCGCCCATAACCCCCCAGGCAAACGCGCCTGTAACCCCCCCTAGGATCGATCGGGGATCTCACAGTGTAGCTCTACTGACACCCCCCCACACTGGGAGGCCCAGGACTGAGCACAGTGGCAACGGCCAACATGTGCATACACCGGGATTCGAGCCCGAGACCGCTCTGATACCATGTCAGAATCCCAACCACTAGACCATTGGGATAAAAGGGCTTGTTTCAGTAGCGGGTCAGTGCGCCCATAACCCCCCAGGCAAACGCGCCTGTAACCCCCCCTAGGATCGATCGGGGATCTCACAGTGTAGCTCTACTGACAAACTCCGGCCTCGCTTCTGTGGTCCTTTTCTCGTTGAGGCACAGGTGACACCAGTAACATTTCGCTTGCGCTTACCTCTTACGTAGAAGCTTCACAACGCTTTCCATGTTCATCTACTGAAGCCTTACAAGGACCCCAACCAACAGTTCTAGGGACAGCAGATATCGTCACCACCACCTGTTCTCGTACAGGATGAACCAGAGTACGAAGTGGAGCGCGTTCTCACTCATCGGCGCTGCGGCAGCAAGACCCTCGAGTTCCTGATACGCTGGAAGGGATATGACCCCACTGAGGACAGTTGGGTTGCAGAAGCTGATATGGGCAATGCACGCCGTGCTCTCAAGGACTATCTTGTCAAGCAGGATGTATCTCACGCCACCCAGCTTTGAGGGGGGGACGTGTGAGAGTACGACTGCTTATGCCAGCTATGCTTGCTTGCCTTTACTTTCTTATGCTATTTCTAGCTTAGGTTTATATTTGCTTGATTTCCTAGGCTAGGTGCTTTCCTATATTTTATTATAGTTATAGCACCGAGCTAGGTTGCGTGCACCGAATTCCAGGCTTTTCGGTTACCACCGAATTGCCTTCTACCAAATTCGGGAAGGCTCCGTTCGGGACGCTTCGCGGCCCTCGGAACCTTCGCGTAACACCTGGTTACTAGGCCTTGTCTCGAGACTATATATAGCCTCGTCTTGTACCCAGGTGGATCATTCAATTCAAACCCACTTTTCTGAGCTCGATCCTAGATCCTCACAGATTGCCATTGGCGAGGTGTTGGTCCGCATTCTTTCGCGAGCAGTCTGTCTCCAGCTCCGTGACCAGATGGCAAGGGTCTTCCTGGCGTCACAGCAGTTTGGGGTGGGGGCGACGTGCGGGACAGAGGTCATAGTTAGAGGAGTCCGTCGCGATCTGGCTGACCACCCAGACTGGGTGGTCCTGTAGCTACACGTGGCGAATGCCTTTAACTCTTTCCACCGAGACAGGATGTTCCAGGCTCTGCAGGCCAGCCCGTAGTTTCAGAGTCCCATTGGCCTCTTCTATGGGACGCCCTCGGACCTCCACTACAGGTCAGGTACAGGAGTGGTCACGATGCACTCGGAGCGTGACACTCGCTAGAGAGATCCCCTCAGCCCCTTCTTGTACGCTCTAATACAGCGCCTTGCCCTGGAGCCGGTTCTGATGGAGGGGGATGTCCAGCTCTGGTCGTACGCCGATGACACGTACGTGCTAGGCCTCCAGACAGGGTGCTACACCACTTCGCCGAGATCGCGAGGCGCTTGGGCGAGATGAGCCTTGCGGTCCAGTCGCACAATTGCGTCGTCTAGTAGACAAAGTTCTTTCCTGTCCAGGGATTTGGAGGCTTTCACGAGCCTAGGGATCGAGGCCGCACGCCGAGGGCTCACCGTGACAGGCATAATGGTGGGCACCGTTTCGTTTGAGGAGCACAGCCTCCCGGATCGTCTCGAGAAGATGGGGCCGGTTCTACCTTGGCTTCCGTGGTTGCGCCAGCCCCAGACAGCTGCTCGTCTTCTTTCGGCATGTGTCAGCACTCGTCCGCAGTATCTGTCGAGGACCATCCCTCCCTCGACCGTAGTGATCTCCAGTTTTACACGATGGGACGCGCGCCTAGAAGAGACTTTTCGGCTGCTTTTAGCGTCAGGGACCTGGGCTTGTCGCGAGGATGCCCGAGAGGCCGCCCTAGACCAAATCTTCCTCCCCATCTGTCTTAGGGGTTTCGGCATTCGTCGCATGGCGCGCGTTGCCCCGGTGAGTTACGTGTGCTCTTGGGTGCAGTGTGCACCCATTCTCTGTTCTCTCCCTGCATGTGGCGAGGTGTTTCGGCAGAGCTTCACTTCTGGCGAGACGGAGCAGATCGACCCAACTCTACGGACGGCGCTGGAGGGTCTCCCATTTAACATCCTCTCTCTCCTTCCCTCTTGGCCCTCTTGTGCTTCTGCCTCCCCCGATTCTCTTTTTTGCAGGAGCGAGCCGTCTTCTGGAGGCGCATGCTTTAGAGGTCGTGCGTGCCCGTCACACCTCTCCCTTGCACCTTGCCCGTTTGACTACCCTTAAGGGCTTAGGTGCAGGAGTGTGGCTGTAGGCGGTGCCATACGCATACCCCCTGCGCTTTCCGGAGGCGCAGTGGTAGGTGGCTTCATCATGCTGTCTTGGTCTCCCTGTTCCCCAGATAGCCCTCGCAGGCCATTGCTCTTGTGGACAGGCGATCGACGACATGACGGTGCCTCACTACGCGGTTCGGTGCTCACGATTCGGCATCGCCACGACCATCCATGACACGGTGTAGTTCATGCTTTGAGACTTTGCGGTCGAGGCGGGCTTCGCGGTGACGGTGGAGGACTCTACGCTGTTCACACAGTTGGAGGCGGCTCGAGCAAGACTGCAGGGACAGCCGGTGGTGGGAGAGGGGACAGCGGCTGGGGGACCTCTGGAGCAGAGGGCCGAGGTGGGACAGCTGGGCGGCGGGGGGCACTGGGGACATCATCAGCTGCGGGGTCGGGTGGCGTGAGGGGCAGGTGGGCAGAGGGGACGGCAGGGGGAGCAGACGGGCCAGGACGAGGAGGGGGGATAGTTGAGGCAGCAGCAGGAGAGCCAGCAGAGGCCGCAGGCCCAGGGCACCGCGCCTCAGGGTTCAGGCTCGGGGGTGGGACAGGGGCGGGAGCAGCAGACAGCGGACGGAGGTACAAGGGGGGCAGCGGGATTGGGAGGGGAGGACTAGGGAGTGAGAGAGGCAGCAGGGGATCGAGCAGGGGGGTTGGGAGGGTTGGGGGAGGGTAGAGAGGGGGAGGGGAGAGGATAGGTGGGTGGAGGAGAGGACAGGGGGAGAGAGACGACTGGAGATGAGGCACCGAGGGACCAAACAGGGCAGCACCCAGCGCAGCAGCAGGGACCAGTCATTACCTGCCGCGATGCTGGGCAGACTTTGATGGTTCTTGTGAATGTCTCCATATTCACAGCGGAAGGGGAACGTGCAGCTGAGACGGGTGACTCCCACATAGATTAGAGTGGCAGCAGCTAGGCGGGTGCAGGAGAAGCTGCGTCACTGGGGTCCACACCAAGAGGGGTTGCAGCCGGCACCAGAGTTTTACGCGTGCGTGGCTGAGACCTTTGGGCCACTGAGCGAGCCGTTGCGTCAGTTTCTAGGGCTCTGCGCGAAGAGGATAGCACAGCAAAAAGAGGGATTTGGGAAGGTGGGAGGACGGATCGGCACAGATATTCGAGATTGGACTCACAACATGTCTCTCCGTGGCACTGCAGCGCGCGCCTGCTCAATGCATCATACAGCATGCGGTGCGGCAGTTGGGGGATCCGACGACGGGTGAATGCCCACCTGTCTCACTGGGTGCGGTGCAGGGTACCTAGCACTACATTACAGGGTGCTTCGAGAGTGTTGCCGATATGCAACATATATATGATGCATATGTGTAGAAGCTATAGTGGCTGTGCTTGAAATGCTGTGCCCGCGTTGTTGGGCGGGATGCTGCCGTGTCTGGTTCCTTGGTGATGCCTTCTCCTTTGCCTCATTCCCTCTCTCCTCTCCTCTACCCACCTCCCTCTTTCTTTTCCCTACTTTTATCCTTCTGTTTTCTTCATACCACTCTCTTCTATCCCCTACTACTTACTCCTTGATCCTTTCATTTTCTTCTTTCTTTCCCCTCTTTCCTACACATATACATACTGTCCTCATGGAAAATTCACCATGCCAAATTTTCATATTCTTAGAAAACCCATTATATTCGGCTTGTATTTGCCTTTTCCTGATTAATAAAAACTTGTTCTTGCTCACCAGCACTCGTTTCCTAGCCTAGCTTCTACCTACCTACTATAGCCTCCTAAGCATGGTCGTAAGCCTATTATTCCATGTGGCTTAAAGGACATAAGAGTTAGTAATGTTATTTATATCAATCTCCTAGGATTTCCAACGGTTAGTTTTCCAGTTATGACAAGTTGTGCGCACTGGTGAAGAGTGTCGAATGGATCGCGAGGGTCCCGCGTCTTGCAAGAACCGTCAGTGAACCAGGCGGACCCATGCCTTATCCCTCCCCCTCTCCGGATTTCCCATTTCCCTTGCCTCTCGATATTCGACTTAGCTTCCTTTAGTATAGACTGCATTGCTAAGTTGTTTTTCTATCTATTACTTGTATGCGACTCATATGTGAACTTACACCTGCGATCTAGTACCCTAAGCACCACTATCACCATTTTCCTCATTGTTGAAACCCTAATCTGCAGACCTATCGCATTCGAGACCACACTTGTAACGATGTTGGGCACACTTTGGTGATTCGTGTGGATGTCTCCGTAGCGGATCCACAGCGGGAGGGGAACAAATTGGAAAGGCAGCATCTGGGCAAGTGCAGGAGAAGCTGTATCAATGGGGGCCGCACTTAGAGGGGTTGCAGCCGGCACCACAGTTTTACGCGAGCGTGGCTGGGGCCTTTGGGCTACTGAGCGAGCTGTTGCATCAGTTTCTGGGGCTCTCCGGGAAGAGGATAGTATATCGGATGAGGGATTTGGTGGTGGGGGATCGACGAATCGGTACGGATATTTGAGACAGACTCACTACACGTCTCTCCGTGGCACTGCAGCGCACGCAGGCGCAATTCATGATACACTATGCGGTACGACAGTTGGGGTGGATGCCCATACCTGTCCCAGTGGGTGCGGGACAGGGTACCTGTCACCACATCACAGGTTGCTTCGAGAGTGTTGCCGATATGAAATATATGTATGATGCATATGTGTAGAAAGTTTAGTAGCTGTGCTGTAAACGTTGTGCCCACGTTGTTGTGCGGGTTGCTGCCGTGTTTGGACCCTTAGTGCTTCCTTCTCCTTAGTCTCTTTCCCTCTCTCCTCTCCTCTTCCCACCTCCCTCTTTCTCTTCCCTTCCTCTATCCATCGTTTCTCTTCCTACTACTCTATTCTATCCCCCACCACTTCTTTTCACTCCTTGATCATTTCTTCTTATTCCCTTCCTTCCTTTCTTATCAATGAATATATATAAATATATATATATGTATATATATCGTCCCCATAGAGCATTAGTCATGCCGAAATTTCCTCTTTGAAACCCACTTATTGTGAAAGCTTACAATTTGCTTTGAAAGTGGATCGTCTCATTTCAACGGGGTGATCGAAGTGTTGTCAGATCCCTTCCCTTTTCTCTCTCCCTCTTTTTTTTGGGTTGCAAAGCAACCTATTTAGAAAGCTTGCTTTCTTGTAATGTAGCAATGGCATTCTCTCATTTCAAGTGGGTTTAGTACAACTGAAATCCAAGCAATTCTAACATGCTACAATGCTGACATCTTGCTACAGTTGTCGCTGTTCCGAGGGGTGGGTGGGCGGGAAAATGTGCTAAACCGTTTGAAAATGAGAGACGTGGGTGGAGGGAAATGACCTCCAGCCCACGGTTTGTACTCCAAAATGGGCGATTAGCGCGATTCGACTCTGCTCATTCCTACATTACAAACAGCCTCGCTTTCAAAATACAAAAATTTGAAAAGCGTTACAGCTTTTAAAAATATTCATATTATGATCGATTTGGCCAGTTTTTTTGAATTACGAAGCAACGTATTACAATCGTTATGGACAAATGTGGTTTTTTGTCCTCTATACATATATGTAGAAGATGACCCAAAAAAACTTACAATTAGAGCTTACCACTTGGTATGGTACTATTATATTTCTTTCAATTTCTTTGTTTGCCATGGCTCTTCATATGTATGAATGGAGTTTCCTCTTGATGTTATTCTAAAAATGCAGCTGTTTTTTCCGTAATGCATACGCAGTAGTTGTCTGTCGTGCATAAATGAGGTTGGAATGCATGCATAACAATGGATGTAGTGAGCCAAACATTGAATGATATGTCAGAATGTTATTATTGTCTAGCCTGCAGTGGGGTACTCTATAGCGAGTACAACCCAATTAGGGTTTGCTATATGTATCTCAACTGCTGCTAGTGCAAACCCCTCCTTTCTTCATTCTTGTTTCTGCTCCTAGTTCTAACATGATAATGCTTAGATATGATGTCTATGCTATAGTTGTATGTGTGTGTAGTATATGCTTATCTGTACGAAACCAATCTTGCGAATGTGTAAAATGATAGAAATACGTGATAGGTAATTGACCCATACACTAGGCTACTGCGTCCCCTTCTTATCATGGGGGGGAAGTCAATAGCCTAGCGTTTGAATCATCCAACAATCGATCAATACCGTCAAATAAAGTTCAAATGAACACACTCACCAAGTGCGCAAAGAACATTCTCGAAAATGATAGTTTAAACCCCACAGACATGTGTTATTAATGTAATGAAAACATGAATGAAAGCACACACGCACACAATACAACGCAAACCTACACAAATTAAAGAAACATCCATCAATTAGTACCCTTCACCTCTCTCACACCTTATTGTTCTCATGCTCGTCTAAGTCTTCACTCGTTTTCATAATCTGTTCAAATGTATAATAATTAACCCAACAAAATTAACTCTATAAACCCAGTGAGCATCTTCTCTGTTGTTCCAAATCGTTCGCAATTTGTAGAATCGACCATAGCTTCAAATTTGCTGCACAAAAATAGAGAAGCAAATTCCAAAAATCAGAAAGAGTTGATATACATCCATCAAGTTGCGCTTATTCATGAGTACATGTAGATAATCATAAAAAAAAATGGACTCACGTCTTGTCTCCTTTTGTGGGTGTTGACGAAATCGGTTTTCTCAATGTGTCAAAGCTCGTCGGAGCGTCGCTCGAATGCGTGATCGTCGATATATCCAAGATGGTCTTGCACACGCGTGCTCATTCTGGACAGATGTGGACCTTCAATAACAACGAACACAGAAATTTGAGTTTACAGACATATCAATAACCAGCAAAAACGTACATTGAAGTGCATATTCAACAAGTAAATGAAAATCGTACTAACGATATTAAAGACTATTGATTATACTCACATACCTTCACATGCCACTCGCCTCGAAGCATGTCCAGCGCATCTTGCCGCTCACCCAATGTCATGGAGTGGAAATCCGAAACCTGGAAACTTGGCAACAATTGTCCCAAGATTTCAGGCTCCAAATCATGAGCCTGCGTCTTGAACGAATCTGGAAAGGAAAGAACAAAATAATTATATCCAAACAAATGCAATCTACCTAAACTTTGTGGAAAACTATGGAGACATCAAAATAGAAATGTTAAACATGATGCTTACCACTCTCATTAACAACAAGAGTTTCTGTCACGTTATCAAACGCGCGAACAGATGTCATCCCGTAGACGCAACATTTGTGGATCCCCGAAGTCGCGAAGGTGAAAACAGGCATTCCGCAAATGGAATCTCCTGCACCACCAGTGCAGACAACTCGACTATCGTGCACTGGGTCTCTGATCTCTGCTGCGAATGTTGCTCTTCATTTGTTACCATAACCAATGTGTACATGAGACATCATGATCATTCAACGATACATGAATTAGCTAATGGATTTCATATTCGCTATTAACGTCACACTTGCGCAAATTTTGATTACTTACAAGCTCACAAGACCGACGTATTGTAGCTCGGTGACTGGTGCATCCGTGATGACGGATGCCCATGATCGAGAATGACAATGTCCGAAGGCACTGTCGTTGTGAAAACTGCCGATTTGAGATACACATTGCTGATGAAAAGAGCAACATCGCTAGCATCGGGGTGATCTGCAATATATCTCACATTGCTGGAGTTGATCCTGATGGTGGCATCCCTGAGCGCTACCAATGCGCTCTTCGTTGTTG